TTTTAAATATGTTTTTATTGATTTTACAGAGAGAGGAAGGGAGAAGGAGAGAGAGAGAGAGAGAAACTTCAATTGGCTGCCTCCTGCTGGCCCCCTACTGAGGATTGAGCCCAAAACCCAGGCATGTGCCCTTACCAGGAATAGAACCGGTGACCTTTTGGTGAATGGGACAACACTCGACCAACTGAGCTACACCGGTCAGGGCTATAATAAAATAATTTTATAATATTGAATGTGTATCTATGTACATATGGGGTTGAAGGCGGAGGATGTGGGTTTATGAGAAATGCCACGCTCTGGGTGCCTAATTCTGCAGGTTACTTTTGTTTTTTCTTAGCCCTGGCGCAAGGTTTTTGCTTTAAAGACACAGAATTATCTGCTAGACAAGCATTATTATGACTACCTAGCCACAAGAAGAAATAACATAGTTAAAATGTAAAATGTCTCAAAGCGTGACTGAATGTAATTCGAATGGCTTAACAAACAAGCCTTTGATTTGCCTTTGAAAAGTCCACTTCAACAGCTGTGTGGCCAGCATAAAATGTCTAATTCATGTTTTATCAGAGAGCTAGAGGAAATCTGAGATCAGTCTCGAGCAGGGATTTTTCAACCGGTGTGCCGCAAGAATTTTTAAAACATGCAATCCCTGACTACTTAGTCAGGGGCACTGACCTCTTTTCCCTTAGAGTGCCAAGTAAAATGACAACAGCCAGCACAACAATAGTGTGATCTGGTGCAAATAAATCAAAATTATACCTATTTTTTTAATTAGAAGGGCAAAAAATATATTTTTGGGGGTGCCACAGAATTTTAGTAATTAGCTTATATGGGCCAAGAAATGAAAAAGGTTGAAAATCGCTGGTCTAGGCCATATCTCCTTTCACAGATGAGGAAACAGATCCCCAAAGTTTACAGCTTGTGGCAAAACCAGGTCTTGTATACACTAGTACACTGTATTTTCCTTCCAAAGAACTGATGCTACTAACCTCACTGCTGCTACAATGTGACCATGATAAAGATGATAAATACTATGTGAGTTTTCCCTATATGCCAAGTACTGGCTCAAATCAGAACTTTTATCTTTATTTAACATTATGAGGAAACAGAAGCAAAGTGAGATTAGTAACTCCTGGCCTTACACAGTTAGAAGGTGGTGAAGCCAGAATCTGAACCCAGGCCATCTGACTTAGAGCCCACAGCCTTCCACCACTCCAGCCAACCCACTGCAATGCCATTACACATACTACAGAACTATTTCTAAGTCAGAAAGCCTGAAAGAAGTTCTTGCTATAGCTTTTAACGAACAGCATAACATAAACATAATTGAGGACTGAACATTTCACACACCACATGAAACCTAGAGTCCCTGTTTCTCTGTGCTCCTTCAGTGCGTGCATGTATCTTTCTCTCTCCCCCCTGCTCTTTTTGCCCCGAAGTTTTGAGAGCTGCCTGAGGAGCTCTGATTCAGTATCAATAGCGCCCTTATTCGCGAAGCCTGACAAATAGGTTGGTTTCAAAAATCATGTGATTCCCCGTCTCCATTTCCTCTATTTCCCATCAGAGAATGAATGCTTCTATCTTAATGTTTCCATTCACAATTAAGAGGGAACTGACATTTTTTTTTTTTTTAATGAAGAGAAAGGAAATCAAATTACCCATCACCTAACCTACCAGTAACATATTTCAGAGGCTGAATATACACAGAGAATGCAAACAGCCTGAGAAAATAGCAAGTAAGATGTTATTTTCTGCTGAGGGGGCCACAGTGTTTGTATAACAACAGGGATATCTAAAGGATAGGAAATTTTCACGCCCAGTTTTCTAAGTAGGCATTGCTCAATCAGCCAAAAGGATACCATTTCAGGGCTAACAGGATTTGATGTGATCACACAAACTAAAGTTTGGTAAATTTTAGGCTGTTAGTATGTTTAGAAATCAGTTTTACCTTCTTGAATATCTCTGAACATACTGTTTATAATGAAGAGGCACAGAAATCTCGAGTTTCATACTTGAATTTTATCGTCTGTACTTAATAAAGTTATTTTTAGTTAAAAAAAATTAGTCTGTCCTACATTCAAGGACATGTATGATGCATTGCAGGAGGCTGGAATGGTCTCTCTGGGCAATAACGGAGGATGTGACTCTAGGAGATACGGAGAAGAAAGACGAAACAATCTTCCTTAGGCATTACTTTAACCACATCACTCCAAAAGTCCCCCTCCCCCATTTTACCATATCAGTCTAAATTTCTTAGTCTATCTTTAAAATTTTCCTATTATCTGGCTTCACTCAATATGTACGAATGATCTCCCACTGCCTCCCCCAAGACGCACCTTCTGCTCCGACTCGTCTACACACCACGCTCTCTCCCACTTCTGCGTCTTCACTTATGGAGAAGACAGATGGCATATTGTTTATGGGCACCTTCCATCAATCAGCATGTTAAGTTACCTATTTAACCCTTGTAACAGTATATGAGAAACGTAGGTACTATCATTTCCATGTCTCCCATTTTACAGAAAAGCAATCATCTCTCAGAGGGATTACATTGTCTAAGAGAGCCCGGCCGACGTGGCTCAGTGGCTGAGCAATGACCTAGGATCCAGGAGATAGAGGTTGGATTCCCAGTCAGGGCACATGCCTGGGTTGTGGGCTCGGTCCCCGGTAGGGGGCATGCAGGAGGCAGCTGATCAATGACTCTCTCATCACTGATGTTTCTATCTCTCTCTCTCCTTTCCTCGCTCTGAAATCAATAAAAGATATATATTTTTTAAAAATTGTCTACGAGAACCAAAGCAGGCATCCTGAGATTTAAACCCAGGTTTGACCTCTGAGTCCAGGTGCTGTCCCTGATATCATGCTGCTCCCTCCTACCTGGATGCCCTCTATATTGTCCTCTGGCTAAACCTATGCTAAACTTCTATGTCCAGTTTCAGTGCCACCTCCTCTATGATGCCTTCCCAGGCAACTGCAGTCGTGCCAGATTTTGCTTCTCCTGGGCTTTGCCATACCACTTAAAACCCATAAAATATTATCTCAAAAATGTTTACTATTGCTTGTTATGCATTCTTTTGCTATCGAACTTATTTTTTATCTTCTCGAAGGCTTCCTGGGTTACGTAAGAACAAACAATAACACTGGGCTGAGGCACAGAAAGGGGGGTGGGGAGTCATGGAGCAGAGGGAGGAAGGGAAGGTAGACCAGGGCTACATAATAAAGGACCTTAAATATTATCCAAAAAGTACAGATTGTAAGTGATGAGCAGTCCTTGAAAGCATCTGAGAACTGACTGAGAAGAGTTCTGATTCAGAAAGCTCTCTGGCTGTATCCTGAACCACATCAGTTGAACAGGGAGAGAGACTGAGCTTTATATAGCCACAGCATTTGTCCTCATTTGTTTCTGTTACAGTAGGAAATGTTTTACTTTTGTTGTTTATTTATATCCAAAAGCACACACCCAGCACAAAAATACACACAGTGCTAGCAGTCAAGGCAGTCTGCTCCAGACTGTAGAATTTACTTATTTACTTTATTTTTAAATTGAATTTACTGGGGTGACACTGGTTAATAAAATTATATAGGTTTCAGGGAATACAGACTCTACAGAAGTTATCATCTAAAATCCCAAAGGACCGATAAAAAGACAAATTAATTGTAACCAACATTAAGAACTCCTTATTCACATTAAGAACATACACGGCTACAGTTGCAAAACCGATGCTAGGAAAGGAAGGCTTATTTACCCAATGTGAGCAACTAAGGAAATTTTCCTAGTTCAAGGTTGATAACTTTTTGTTGTTGTTAATCACAACACTTTTTCCACTGATTTTTAGAGAGAGTGGAAGGGAGGTGGGGGCGGGGGGGGGAGAGAGAGAAACGTTGATGTGAGAGGGACACAGTGGTTGGCTGACTCCTGCACTCACCCTGACTGGGCCAAGGATGGAACCTGCAACCCAGGTATGTGCCCTTGACTGGGAACTGAACCCGGGACCCTTTGGTGCAGGGGTGGGCACTCTAACCACTGAGCCACACCAGCCAGGGCAAGATTATTAACTTTGAAAAAATAAATATATCAAGTAATTTCTCAACAAATTTGCTTTACGTGGCCACGAAAAGGCTGTCAATAAAATTCCCTACAAGCGAGTAACTTCCTTCTGCTTTCTAAACGTTTAAGACCTACATTCTCTCTATCCTTTCCTTACTGTTTTTCTTTTTTCTTCTTCTAAGTAATTGAGAAAGTCATTCAGCTGATATTCTTGTAAGTAGGTATAAGGAAAAAAACACTCATTAAAACAAAATATCCAGGAAAGGGGGGCACAATCAGAAGGGAAGGAATCAGACTCCCTTCTCTAAAACAAGTGCTTCCCTCGTAAGCGAAAGCGATTGTGATTAACTTGCAAGAAAGGCTAAGATTTCACCTACGATCACAAATAATAAAAAGAGTAGTCACCTGTGTCTGACAACAGGGATAAAAAGCCTCAAGATAAAAATACGAGCAAAATGTGGGGCTAAGAGGCAATGTTTCCCGGAGGAAGGTGTATTTTCCTTCCTATCACCACTGACTTCAGAACACTCAGGACATGGGGGGTCCTGGAAACCAAGAGCACCTGTGCTTTGCGTATATAAACGGAGCCATGCATCCCTGAAAGTTAACAAGGAAAAGCACAGCATGTTAAGTCTCTTCTTATGTGACAATCACAGCGGATACCGTTTATGACTTGAGACGGTTGCCCCACGATCTCTAATCCTTGGAGCACCTCTGAAGATGCTAATCTCCCTGTTAGGGGTTGAAAAAAAACCCTGTGCACGACTTCTCAGAAAGGAGCGACTGAGCCAAATCCTGAAATCAAATCTTACTGACTTCCAAGCCCATGCACCAAATTGGAAAAAATGAGTGTGAATTTTATGGGGAAAAACAGAACTCCAGAATAATTAAATAGACGTAATGGAAGAAAAGGCCAGAGGCCCAACCATCAACTGCAGAAAGGGAGCCAACTTACCAGCGTACTTTGTAGTGTTAGATTCATCCATAGACCAAAAGCAGTAATCAAAGGCAAATACCTGAATAAAAGAATAAAATATTAAACTTAAAACTTAAGTAACATCTATAAGTAAATCAGACTGCAAAAAAAATTTCATTGATAAAGGTGAGGATGTCTGTTACTGTCTGAGTTTTTTAAAAAAAAACAACACAACACACCATAGGTTTGTTGCTTTGTTAACCCTGGAGTTTCTTTTAGACTAAACTGATGGTTATCTCCTTGTATTAAACTAAGTAATATATGAAAATTGCTATTTATCCAGAATTCAAACAAGCAGACATCTTAACCAACATTTTTTCCAACGATACATTTAGTGAGAAAAAACTTCTCTCCCAAGTCAATAGCTCAGCACCTGCTGTCACCCTCCAGCTGGATCTCTCACAGCTTCTCAAGAAGCACTAAAGCGATCAGCTTTCATTTACACCAATTCCTTCTAACTTTCCGTGACACTGCCGTTTCTAGCATAGCCAAAGTTCAAAACTCTCCACGTCGTTATCTTGGACACCACTCTCTCTTCGGTTTCAGCAATCTTGGACCCAGTGTTGATAAATCAATAATTCACTCTTGCATGCATTCATTTTCTGTATAGTTACTGAGTACCTGCCATGTTATCAGGAATGCTGAGGCTGCCTTCCTAAGGACTCTCACCTAATCACTGTTTCCCATGCATACTCATGTTCCGGCCATTATTATTAAATGCATAAGGCAACATTCCCTAAAGTGTGCTCCAAGGAACAGTAATTTCATGAGATAGTCCATAAAAAAGATTAAATCATGCTAGAAATGGTGTACATTTTGTGCTGTTTGAGATTCTCAATATTAAAGGCTCTGAAAAGTCCTTCAGCAAATAAATCCATGTAACTGTTTAACTTTTTATCTCTCCAATTAATTTTGGTGAGGAGACCTTTTTTTTTTTTTTTAAAATATATCTTTTCATTGATTTCAGAGTGAGGAAGGGAGAGGGAGAGAGAGAAACATCAATGATGAGAGAGTCATTAATCGGCTGCCTCCCGCACGCTCCCTACTGGGGATCGAGCCCCAACTGGGGCGTGTGCCCTGACCAGGAATCGAACAGCAGTCTCCTGGATCATAGGTCGATGCTCAACTGCTGAGCCAGGCCAACCAGGCGAGGAGACCCTTTCCTGAGTAACACCTATAAACATGCCTTGAAACTACCTCTTAGTTAACTCTGGCCCAGATGACTCAGCAGTCACTTTCCTGTGCTCATTTTTAAAGCCTTTCACCCCACGTAGTCCAAATAGCAAATTATAAACCTTCCATGGACAGGGACCCTTTAATGTTTGATCATATCCAAGGAATCTTAAGCTCTGAGCAAACAGAAGCCAAGCTCTTTGACCTGGCACCTGAGACTGGCCACAGTGCCTTTTCATTCCCCTCACTTCTTTATGCTTCAGCCGAGTCTGTCAGCACCTTGGAGTGACAATCCCACCTCCGCCAGTGTTCTCTTCATTTCCACCCTTCAAAATGCTTCATACTCCCTTAAGGTACAATTCAGTATATTTTTCTCCCATGAAGCATTCCTTGGTTTAATTCAAAGGAATTGGCTTTCTCTTCTCTAAACTCTCACAACACTGTTTAATCTTTCTTTGGTGACATCTATCCCAGTTTTTCTATTTTTCACTTATCACAGGTATCATCTGTGCATATGTTTTATCTACATGGGCAGACTACGTTCCTTGAAAGCAGGAGCCAGACCTGATTCGTATCTGCATCCTTCAGTGTTCATAGTAATCGCTCTACAATTATTTACTGAATGATTAATGGCATTGAGACCTTACATGAAAGCAGGTACTTTTTCCACCATCAAGAGATTAAGTGACGCTCTGAATAGTTTCAGCACTACATATACTTCAGTGCTTTTAAAACAGATTCAGGTATGCATACAACTTACATCATCCAAATTCAGTTTTATTACTTATACAAACATTCACTCTGGCCATACAATAAACAAGGCTAAAATGAACAGCTATGAAACAATAGTTTCAGCCAACAGAGTGCGGAATATTTACTGCATTCAGGGGGCTGTTCCAATAACTTGAGAGACCACACAGGCATAGCCCCGTTAATCATCCTGCCTCTAGGCAGGATTGAGCTTCAACACTTCCTGAGAGATGAAGATCTGTCTTGGTTTTAAACATTTCCAGAAAAGGAGATTCTACAACGTCCTTTTAATGGCATCTTGTAACGCTTAATGTTCATTCCCAGGAAATTTTCCTTTCCTTTTGACCTAAGTCATCTCTCCTTACTTTAAATGACCAATAGCAGCTATTTTCCAATTTTTATATCTTTATTGTTTTCCTCTAGAGCAGGGGTGGGGAATGTAAGGCCCATGGGCCCTATGCAGCCTGGGAAATCATTTGGTCTGGCCCTGCCATGGCAACCGCAGGCGGGACTCGAAATTCAATAAATCTAGGAGATTTTTCATAGCTAATTTTTAAATTGATAATTTTGTATGGCACGCAAATGATGTTATAAATATCCAAGTGGCCCTTGGCAGAAAAAAGGTTCCCTACTCCTGCTCTAGAGTCTAAACGAATTCTTCTTAGTAGCTGCTATGTAAGTAATAATTTATCTACTCTATGTTCATTTTCACACCTAGCTAAAACTTGTTTTTACAGTTTGTTATTCTGCATTCAAGGTTAAAAAGCTAGAAATTTACATTCATGGTAATGCTACTTGAAATAAAATGAAATCCACCCCAAATTTTCAGGATCTACCTCTAAGTAATAATCACTCCAAACTTCTGTGCCAACTTCCACTTGTTTTCTTTTTTTCTTTTTTTTTTTTAATATGTCCTTTATTGATTTCCAAGAGAGGAAGGGAGAGAGAAAGATAGAAACATCAATGATGAGAGTCATTGATTGGCTGCCTCCTGCACACCCCCTACTAGGGATGGAGCCCCCAATCCGGGCATGTGCCCTGACCAGGAATCGAACCACCATCTCCTGGATCCTAGGTCGATCCTCAACCACTGAGCCAAGCCCGGCCAGGCAGTGCCAACTTCCATTTCTAACAAACAAACAATTAATAGTTTAAGGCTGTTTTTGCTCATAGAAAGATTTTTTAAAAATTATTTTAAGTGTTTGCCCCATAAAATTTAAACAAATGTTAAAACCCTGCAGAGGAGAAAAGGGCACTGGCAGTACTGATAGATACAACTGTTCTTTGCTTGTCGAATACCAGCCTCTCCCTGAATGAATTATGTCTCAAATTTCAAAACCTCTGATCACAGGTATTTTAGAATGCTCACCCCTCAAACCAGTCATGGTTACTATTTTACCAAACATTTACCAGTAAGAAAGCTGAAGGCCAGAAATCTGAGGGATTTCCCTAACATATATTTTTTAATGCACACCACAAGCGATCACCCCCTCTATGAACTTCTACAGCACTCTGTAGCTCCCGTGGCACTAGCTCACGTGCTGTTCAGTGTGGTCTCACCTCCACTCTAAAGGTGAAGCCACTGGGGGCAGGGACCTGAGCTCATGCACTTCACAGTGTTTGGGTCAGTACCTCATACAGAGCAACTGCTGTACGCAGCATTTCTTCAATAAACAAACACAACACCAGGAGAAACAGCTGGAATGCACAGAGAAAAACAGAATGGATGTGACAACTGTTCTGAATAAGCAGAGAATCCAACTGCAAGACACATTTTAGATCCTTTCAGAGGCATGCGTTGGGGGAACTTGGTTCCATCTACTGTTAAACAGAGATTTGGTCACAAGATGAGCACTGGGGTCCTCGTTGGCACCATCATCCCATGGTCCAGGTGGATAAACAAGTATGGCCACATCATGCATACAGTTTGCACAGAAATTAAAACAATTATTATGTGTCTGGCTGTTGCTAGAATAATTTTAGTTATGACTGTTACTAAAAGAGTTTTAAAAAGTTTAAAATAATTTTTTTGTCTTATCATTTTGTCCATTTTCCTTGCAATCTTGTTAGTACTATAAACTATTTAGAAAATATTATCTTCCTGCCTGGCTGGTGTGGCTCAACGGTTGAGCACTGACCTATAATCCAGGAGATCAGCGTTCGATTCCAGGTCAGGGCACATGCCTGGGTTGCGGGCTCGATCCCCCCAGTAGGGGGCATGCAGGAGGCAGCCCATCAATGACTCTCTCATCATTGATGTTTCTCTCTCTCTCTCCCTCTCCCTTCCTCTCTCTGAAATCAATAAAGACATGTTAAAAATTAAAAAAAAAAATTATTTTCCTTTTCATGGCCAAAAATTTACTTGTAACTTAACCACAAAAGGTCTATAACGAAAAGGAACATGATTTTCTTAGGTTTTACAGAAGTTTCGGTTTTCCAATACAAAATGAATTGATATTTCAAAAGAGATAACAAAACTATTTTCTTGAGAGTTTTATATCCTTGGAAATTGACCACTTCAAATAAAATGAAATTAATTTTTTCAAAGCCAGCATACTGTATTAGAGAAATATGTTAAATAAGACTTCTAACTAGTTTCATAGGAATTCCTAAATGCTTATTTCATCTATTCATTATGGAGTCACTAGTATCTTAACTGGAATCTGGGAGATGGGGGACTTCTTAATGCACACAACTGAGTAAAAAAATAAATCAAGTTTGGAGACCGAGTATAAATCTCATATTTCATCAATGCCAATGGACAGTGTGAGAACTTTATTTGTAAAGGCATCCGTACCTTCCAAGAGCCTTCAACTAGAAAAGGAGCCAAAAGTACAGATGTTCTCCAGTTGTTTTTAAAATCTGAAAGCTATTGTCTTCATTGTTTTCAATAAAATGTGACTCCACCTCCTCAGAACCCCACTCCTTCCTCTTCATTTGCAACTTGTAAAATTCCTACCGGCATCTAATTCCCTGCAGCTTGCAGTCCACATCTGCTCCACCTTCATCACGCTCTTGAAAAATGTTAGCTCTGCATCTCTGTGAACCACTGAACAGCTAGCAAAGTTACCACAAGTTGTTTTTAATAAGACAAATGTGTCGAGTGATGTGTTTTCC